TTTTTTTTTTTTTTAATAATGAAAGGCATTAAGTACTTACTATGAACCAGGCATTGTTCTAAGTGCTGGGAATGAAAAATACAAGCAGGACAGTCACTGCCCTCAAGGAGCTTATATTCCTTTTTTTTTTTTTTAAAGATTTTTATCAATATCTTTTGTTTTTAACATTCCCTGGATTTTCCTCTGTATACCTTCTCATCTTCTCTTCCAGAAGGCATCCCTTAAAACCATTTAAAAATCTCATTAAAAAAAGAAGAGAACCCCCTCCCCCCTGCAAATCCAATCAATGCATTGAAATAATCTGAAATTATGTGTAATGCTCCACACCTTTGGACACCCCTCCCCCACCTCAGCAAAGCAGTGGGGGAAGTCTTGGGCTCCATGCTTGGGCTTTATAATTTCACGGCATTTTCCTACATTCGTTTTCAATTCTTCTGTGGTGGTCCGTCTTTCCATTTCCATTGTTGCTGTCACTGTGTACAACATTTTCCTGGCTCTGCCCCCTTCACTTCACATAGTGAACCCCACTGTTCTTAGCTGGTGGTTGCTTGCCTGAACCTCCTCTTCTTACTTCAGGGTCTGTGGTCCTTGAGGTCCCATCCCCCCATGACTGCTTCTCCCCAAATACCCACAAGGTGAAATGACCAGGCATCCCCTGAAATCATGTGTCTTGATGCCTTCGGGTTCATGACCAAGGCAATTCTGCCAGCTGTTTTGCTTGTCTCTCTGAGGAGCAGCTTTGAACTGTCCTTCCAGACAACCTCTATTTGTCTACACCTTTTGTGACCTCTGGTTTCATTTACAGCCAGAATGTCAATATAAATGTGATTCAGCTCAATGATATGCCCATTTGCCAGTCAAACACCTCACATTTAGAATACTATTCACATTTGTAGATAGTCTAAAAGCTGTGTGCTTATCACTTCCCCTTGTCACCATCTTGACCGAAGAAGAAGGTAGTCACAAAGGAGCATGGGCCATTTTATGTTCTCATCTGTTTCATGAGTTGCCAAGGCCAAAAATATTCCTCATCTGTGGTCAACCTGCTGGTGCTGAATTTTTCCATTTACAACTTCATTGGGACTTTTTGGCTTCTCTCCCTTTTCTCATCTTCCAACCTTGGCTTCCCCTTGCCTTGAGCTATTATTTTCTGCTCTCTCAATGGCTGAATTCATTCACTCCTCATCACGTTTCACCCCAATCTCAAATAGTCAAATGACCCCTAAAATACCTAAAGTACCCAACAAAATGCTACATGAAAAGACCCAGGATCTTCAGGAGAAAAAACTGGTAATGTGGTACATCTGATGCCTCCCTATTTCCCTTAACATATCATAACTTATTATGTTTAGAATTTAGCTTTCCATTTGCCAGTTGACTCATTGATTACATGACCTCTCCCCTGACTAGTCTCTAAGCTTTAGGGGGTCAGGGTCTATGACTATATGAACCAAGGGTACTTTAATCTTTTTTGTGGGTCTCTTGGCAGTCTGGGGGAGCTGATGGATTCCTCTCAAAATAGTGTTTTTAAATGCTTAAAATAGAATACATAGTACTGAAAAGGAAACCAGTCATATTGAGGTAAAGTTAAGATACATTCAAAAAAGTTCACATATCCCAAGAAATCTATTCAAAAATCCCTTGGGCATACTGATTGTGTGACCCTGATAGAGCCTTTTAACTTGTCAATGCTGTAGGCAACCCTGTAAGGAAAAAAAGGTACTGACCTGTATTGGTTGGGGGAGATTTTTTCCCAGGGAGATCCGTATACCAATGAAATCACAGATTCAGTCCCTCTCCCTACTGCTGCTGTTGTTAGTGTTCAGTCATTTCAGTCATGTCTGACTCTTGGTGACTCCATTTGGGATTTTCTTGGCAGAGATAGTAGATTGGTGTGCCATTTCCTTCTCCAGCTCATTTTACAGATGAGGAAACTGAGGCAAACAGGGTTAAGTGACTTGCCTGGGGTCACACAGCTAGTAAGTGTCTGATGTTGAATTTGAACTCACAAAGATGAGTCTTCCTGATTCTAGGCTGGGCGCAATATGCACTGTGGCTCCTTATTAGCCCTGGTTAAAAACCTCTGTTGTGGTTCCATCATGTCTCTGTCCCAGCTCCTGCTGTTGTCACCCTCTTATGCTCCTAGACTTGTGGGTCCTATCCTGCTCTCTCAATGGCTGAATTCATTCACTCCTCTGCACACAGAGAGGTTCTGGGGAATTCAACCCTTCCCAGGATGTCCAATAGTTGAGGGATGCCTAAACTTCGGGGATCATGGTCTAATGCACAGGATGATCCTTCCAGGTCCTCTGCAGTTTCCTTTGGGACACTTCTTTAGGCTTGAATATTGAGTTCTACACTCCTCCCCCATTTGAATCAGCCCAATTACTACATTGGATATTCCCAGTCTAGAAACCTTTTCAGACCAAGGCAGAGCAGCAGCTGCTCTAGACATCTAGAAATCTAGAGATTTGCCTGGAGGCACTGAGAGGTGACTGGCCCAGGATCACACAGCTGGCATATATCAGAGGTAAGACTTGAACACAGGTCTTCTTGACTCCAAGGCCAACTCTCTGTCTCCCATGTCATGTTCCATGCTTGTTCTCTCTGAGTTACTAACCTTAATTTAAAAAAAGGAATAAGTTATTACTCCTAGTTTGTTGTCTTTCCTCCTTCCCTTTCTTCCTTCCTTTTCTTTCTTCCCTTCCTTTCTTTTCTTCCTCCCTCCCTCCCTCCCTTTCTCCCTCCCTTTCTTCTTTCAGTTTGCCTAGGATCACATTTGTTTTTTTCAGGATCTTGTCTAAGGTTAGATTCCTTCTGGGATATTAGAAGTAATATGGAATGCAATGATGGCTGACAGAGTAAAGAAAGGTTTCCCAGGGATGGGTGGAGCAAAAGAGAAGAGAAAAGGATCTTGGAGTTGGGCTGGGTGAGGGAGGAGAGAGAAGCTTCCCAAGGTTGGACAGTTAGAAGATCTTGGTCATTGTGGGGCCTGAATACAACCAGGGATCAGACTTTGGCTCTTTAAGAAGATGCAGAGAAGCCATCCCTGAGTTTGAAGCCTGAGGAAACTCATGTTAAGGGGGAAGATGCTCCTACTTTAATATACTATGGAATAAGCAGCTTTGAAATTCTGCATGACCAGGGGACTCTTAAAGCCAATGAAGCAGGAGACTATGAAATGATCCATAAGTTAGGAGGGAACATTTATAACTCTCGCAGTTTCAATAAAAGGTTAGTTTAATAGTGCAATTATTCTCCAAGCCCTCAGCTTGTGGGGATGAGGCCTTAGGTAACAAGCCAGCCCAGCTGGCCTCTGTTCTCCCTTAGTGTATGACAGAACCTTTCTATTCTTTCCCTTCAGGTCCAGCCCCTCCACCCACCAGCTCGAACAGCGTGGTATGACTGAACAAGGACAGCAGCTGGGGCTGGGGTAGGGACAAGATGGAGTCACAGCTGAGGTTTTTAACTAGAAATAATAGAGATAGGAATCTGTGCTTTCTTTGGTATAGATGAGAAAACTCCCTCCACCTAGGCAGGTCACCACGTTTTCTCCCTTCAAAGAGTACCCAGTGTTAAGTGATTTGCACCAAGTCACAGAACCAGTATATTTTGGAGTGGGTATTAAACCCAGGTCTTCCTGACCCTGAGGAGATGAACTGCCTATCCACTATGCCAAACTGCCTCTCCCAGGTCTAGTAACTGGGGCCAAAGTGTCCCCAGCCTATTAATATCTGGATTCATCCTACAGTAATCTGTTTTCCCATCTGAAGAGTAAATTACACACACACACACACACATGCCAATATAAGTTGATGTGTTTCTAAAAACTTTCTCCTTGTTCTCCCAAATCATTTTTGTCTAGGGGTACTGATGAATTGGAGGCTTGTTCTTACTTGGGGGATTTTTTCTCATTTTATATATTTAGAGCTAAAAGTGATTTTAGAGCACATTTAGCCCAACTCCATTTTACAGGTGAGGAAACTGAGGCTCAGTTAGCCCAAGTGACTTGCTTATGGTCACACAGCTATTAAGTGTGAAAAGGCAGGTTTTGAATCTAGTTTTTCCATATTCCATGCCATCTCTTTCAATACTTCAATGGATCTCATAGGTGCTGGCAATTAATTGTCCATAGGTTCAGAAATCCAAATCCAATTCTCAGAGGCCATCTTCACTGCTAGCTGTACACTTCTGAAACCATTTTTTCCCTTCTTGCATCAATTTCCTCCAGTTGGTGGAAGTGAAGAAAATACCTCCTATAACTTTACAGTTTCTTTCTTTCTCTCTCTCTCTCTCTCTTTCCTTCTTTCTTTCTTTCTTTCTTTCTTTCTTTCTTTCTTTCTTTCTTTCTTTCCTTCTTTCTTTCTTTCTTTCTTTCTCTCTCTCTCTCTCTTTCCTTCTTTCTTTCTTTCTTTCTTTCTTTCTTTCTTTCTTTCTCTCTCTCTCTCTTTCCTTCTTTCTTTCTTTCTTTCTTTCTTTCTTTCTTTCTTTCTTTCTTTCTTTCTTTCTTTCTTTCTTTCTTTCTTTCTTTCTTTCTTTCTTTCTTTCTTCCTTCCTTCCTTCCTTCCTTCCTTCCTTCCTTCCTTCCTTCCTTCCTTTCTTTCTTTTCTTTCTTTCTTTCTTTCTTCTTTTCTTTTTTCTTTCTTTCTTTCTTTCTTTCTTTCTTTCTCTTTCTTTCTTTCTTTCTTTCTTTCTTTCTTTCTTTCTTTCTTTCTTCCTCTCTTTCTTTCTTTCTTCCTTTCTTTCACAATGGGGTAAAGTGACTTGCCCAGGGTCACAGAGCTAGTAAGTGTCAAGTCTCTGAGGCCAGATTTGAACTCAGGTCTTCCTGACTCCAGATATGATGATCTAGTCACTGTACCATATAACAGTCCCCAAAGACAAGCATCTGCTTCCTCTGCAGAGCAACCAACTTTTTCTTCTTCAGAAATAGCTGTAAGTCTTTTTTTTTTTTGTAAAGTCCCATCTCTTCCTTTTGTTTCACCTCTGTATAACAGTCTTCTACTCTCTAACATCCTGACAAGGCTTAGATCTTCCCTCTTCCACATCAGATCTCTGTTCCTCATTGAAGCCCTTTCCTTAGGGAATATTCCATCTTCCCCAAAAGCTGGAGTGTAAAAGACGTGTTCCTCCATGCCCTTCACCTTTTCTGCCAGGAGGGAGATCAGCCTACACTTGAAACACAGAAACAGTCACTCAGCTGAGGTGGAAATATAAACATTGTATGATCAGTGCAAGTCACTACAAAAATGTATGTTTTCTTCCTATTGGCTGAGATTTCCCCTGGTTAATTAAATTACTTTTCCTGCTGTTTTGTTTACGCTATTTAGGAGTTGTTTGTACTGCTTAGTGAAGAGACAGGAAAACCTAGTCCAATGTGGTTTCAGGGACTTGCTAGCTGTATGACTTGGGACAAGTGACAACCTCTGCCTCGGTTTCCTCAACTGTAAAATAGGGATCATAACAATACCTCCCTCCCAAAGTAATGAGGATTAAATGAGATACTATTTATAAAGCACTTTGCAAACCTTGAAGTGCTGTATATATGCTAGCTGTATAGCTATGAAGATGTGGAGGGAGGAAGAAAATGGGTTCTGTTTTTAGACATCAGATTTGGGATATTGATGAAAAATTCAAGTGGTGATCCCAATAACCCAGTTAAAGATGTAGCACTAGAGTTTGGAGATGAAATTAGTGATGGACAAATAGATTTGGGAGCTATAGGCATGAAGATGATATAAAACTTATGGAAGTTGAGATCAGCAAGCGAGATAGTATAAGATAAGAGGGCCCAGGATGGATAGGATCTTGGGGACTTTTATGTATATGGTATTGGAGATGCATGAAGTTCAGTTGAGGAGCAGTCAGATAGATAAGAGGAGAACCAGGAGGGAGCAATGACATGGAAGCAGAGAAGGGAGAATGACTAGGAGAGAGGATTGTGGTTAATGTTGTCAAAAGATACAGAGGAGGCAATGTAGATGAAGACTGAAAAGAGTTCAAAACATTTATCACTTAAAGGTAATTTGACTCAAGATGGTGGAGTGTGAGGTTCTGAGGGAACTGGACCCTTAATATAACCCTGAAATCAACAAAAAGAAACACAAAAGAAAGTGTTAATACCTTAATAACCACAAAAAAGAAAAACAAACCAAGCCAGAAAATGATCAAAATGAAGAAAAGGGTTAACAATAAAAAAGCAACGGAGAAAACAAAAAAGCTGAAGTACCAAAAGCAACACAGTTGAAAAAAAATACAATACAAGACATCCCAAAAGATGTTCTCAAATGGATAAATGATAATTTTGAAGAAATCAAGTAAGAATGAACACTGGTAAAATAATCTCAAGGTCAACTAAAAGAAGATCTTGTGGAAAGGAAAAACAAGAAATCAAGGAAATAAACCAAGCCAGAAACAAAAGATATTTTTTAAAAAAGATCCAGAGAAAATAATGAAGAAAAATTATATGGAGCATATGATACAGAAAACCTGAAAAATTTGTAGAAGCAAATTATAAAAGGTTTACAGCAGCCTAACATAGAAGTGAACTTGAAATAAAGTGATAGGAAATTAAAGTTTAAAAAATTGCTGAATTATCTAAAGTATTGCAGCAATTTCTAAATTATTGATAACCCAGAACATTAGAAAAAAAGGACTATATATGATATTCCAGAAAATTGTCAAAGGAAATTTCCCAGGAATGACAAAAACAAAGAGGAAAATACTAGTAGAAAGAACCTGATTTAACATTCCTAGACACATTGTAATTGAATTTGAGCATTATAACGATAAGGAAATATACTTGAAGCTTCGAAAGACATGCAGAGAACATTTACCAAGAAGAAGTAATCAGAATCACAGTGAATTTTTCAATGAATATGAGAGATTTTTAGAGAAATTTCCTCATTTCCCAAGAGATCCTCTGTTTTGGTCTTCTTTGCACTCTCCATCATCCCTTGTGCCAGGTATTTCCCTATCTCTCCCAATTTTTCAGCTTCTTATTGTATATTGTGTTCCCCCATTAGATTGTAAGCTCTGAGAGGACCATGATGGTATTTTTATTTGTATTTGTATCCCCAGCATTTTGCACAGTGCTTGGCACATAGTAGGCACATAATAAATGTTTATTGACTGACTGACTGGTTGAAATTGTATTTACTGCATACACCAAATTAAGAAGATTGGGCCACAGAACCAGATTTTCTACCAGCAAAACAGTACAATTTAAAAGCAGGAGGCAGGCATTTGAGATGAATTAGACTTTGAAAAGTTTATAGAGAGATGAATATACCTTAAAAAGTCTTCCAATGGTAGTTAAACCTCCCAGCTGAAAAGATAAGTATTTAAAATGATTTATATTTCTTAAATCAAGTTGAATTGCTTAACATGATATAACAATCTTTAGAGTTTCTTATTGGCTAAATCAGTTTCAGAGAAGGAGAAAAAGGGAAGGGAAAGGACAAAGTAATCGAACAATCTCTGATCTTTGATAAAGGAGAATCCCAATTTTAAAAAGTCAGCTTAGCTATTCATATAAGACAAAGGAACTTGGTTTAGATTAGTTTTGTTACATTGGGTTAAAAACCAGAAATAATAAGAATAAGAAAATGTGTATTCCCTGCTGATTAAACAATTAGGACAGGGAGGACAAAACTAACAACTATAACACTAAATGTAAATGGATTAAACTCTCCAATAAAAATTTTCAAATGTATTTTAAAATGAATAGGTTAAAAAAGAGAATTAATAATATACTCTTTACAGGAAATACATTTGATCCAGAAAATATAGTCTTTAGAGAAAACAAATATATGTATATATGTACATATGTGTGTGTATATATATGTATGTACACACATGAACATATATAACTAATACATGTTCCTCATTAGAGAAACAAAAAACTAATCATTTTTTTTAGGCAGTTGGGTTAAGTGACTTGCCCAGAGTCACACAGCTAGTGTCAAGTGTTTGCTGTGAGGCTGGATTTGAACTCAGGTCCTCCTGACTTCAGGGCCAGTGCTCTATCCACTGTGCCACCTAGCTGCCCTCAAACTAATCATTTTTGAAGGACAAAATGCAAACCATTAGTATTCAAATGAAAAGATACTCAAGTTCTCTAGTGATCAGAGAGACACAAATTGAGATGGCCTTAATATTCCACCTTGAACCCACTAGAATGGCAAGGGTAGCAAAAATGATAAGAAGTGTAATTAGGGTTATGGGAAAATAGGCATTCAAATATGTTATTGGTGGAACTGCAGATTGGCTCAGACATTGTCCTCCAAAATGTCTGGAGGATAATGTGTAAATATGCAATAAAAGTCACAGAACTGATCATGTCCTTTGACCCAATGATTCCATTGCTAGGATTTATCCTAAAAGTCACAAAAATGAAGTGGGAATTTATCTATAGAGAGATGGGTGTTCCCAGGTACTTTTTTTTTTCTTATAGAAAAAACTTGTGACACACTTATATGTGTCCAGAGACTGGAGAATGGCTGAATAGATCACAGTATGTTACAGCATTGTGTGGAATATTATGACTCCATAAAGGATGATAAATATGGGAAGTGCAGGAGGGTATATATGGAATGAAGCAAAGCAAGATCAGCAGAATCTGAACAGTATATACCTTGACTACAACTGTTATTTCTTTAGAAAACAAATCTAAAGTTCATCAATGTCAGATGAACTTGGAAAGGGGCATAGAACAAATGTGGCTTCTCTATTTATTTGTTTCTGCTTTGTTAAATGCTAAAGGTTTTGCATAAAACTGTTATTCCTTTTTTATGTTTATCTAATCAATTATCTCTCTTGAAAGTTATTAAGTTCACAACTTTAAAAATAGAGCTTTAGTAGTTAAGAGAACATTGGTAATCTTTGGAAGTCTAGTTTCAACAGAGTGATGGGTTTGAAGCTAGGTTTTAAGTGGTTGAAAAATGAATTGGTGATTAGGAAGTGGATATTACCCTTTCTAGGAGCCTGAAAGTTAGAAATATCAGCTCAAAACTTGATGAGATGGTAGAGTCAAGGAAAGGTTGTTTTTTTTTTTTAATTGGTAAGTGAAACCTGAATGTCTATAGGAAGTGGGGAAAGAGAAAACAGAGAGTATGATTGAAGAAAAAAGTGAAGGAATGATCACTACAGCAAGTTCCTGGAGGAGAAAAGAAGACCTGAGATTAAGTCACTCTCCTCACAATCCTTTAGCGGTCTGGAAGCACCTCACTTTAGAATGTTCCTCTGCCATCTCATCCCTCTTTGGTGAATTCCTACTGACAGTCTCCATTCTGGAGACCAGGCCTAGGCTGACCATGCTCCATTCCTCTTCCAGCTCTGCTTTTGACTCTTTGGACATTGCTACCCCCCACCCCCCGACCATGGACACTTCCTCCCTGCCCTCCACAAGTTTAGCTCCCTTTCATATGTTATCTTCTCTTACTAGAATGTAAACTCCTTGAAGGCAACAAATGTATTACTTTTTGTTTCTATTTGTATCTCCAGGGATGAGCACAATGTCTGGCACATATTAAGTGCTTAATAAATACCGTCTACCTGCCTGCCTGCCTTCAGGGATTACCAGTTACCTATCCAATAAATGTAAACTTTTGCTTTTGTCTTTTAAAGCCCAAATATTACATTATCAGCTAGGTGCTACAGTGGATAGAGTGCTGGGCTTTGAATCAGGAAGATTCTTCTTGAGTTCAAATCTAGCTTCAAACACTTACTAGCTGTGTGACCTTAGGCAAATCACTTAACCCTGTTCACCTCAGTTTTCTCATCTGTAAAATGAGCTGGAGAAGTAAATGCCAAACCATTTCAGTATCTTTGCCAAGAAGACCCCAGACGGGGTCACAGAGAATCAGACACAACTGAATAGTAACAACAAATTGTATTATCCTTGGTAAAAGGGGGTGTTCATCTCTTAGAAGCTAAAGGAGAAGAGAATGGGTAAAAATGGTGATTGGATGTGCAGATCAGGGAAGATGAGGGATCTCACAATGGATGATGGCCTTGATTTTCTCAGTCAAGTAGGAGCTGAGACTGTGAGAAGAGTGGGTAGGAGTGTCTGTGCTGGAGTTTTACTATGTTGAATATTGCTTGAATTAAATGGGTCATGGAATTGTGACTCTAAACTTTCTCTGTAACAACAAGTGCCTAGGATATCTTACTT